GGGGGGGTTAACGGCGCCCGAACGATCGACCGTTCTATCCGGTTTGCACTATAATTGTAAGTAGCGAGTAATTAATGCGGTCGATTCGAGTCCAATTCGTCCGACCGCTGACCAACGGAATCCGCGAGGTTCGTCGACGTAGCAGGGGCGGCGGGGGTGAGAAGCGCGACGTGAGAGCGGGGAAACTCGCGATGGGACGGAGGGGTTGTTCCGGGTCGGGTACCGACATTGTTTCACGGTGGATGAGAATTTAATTTGCACGGTACGAGGCGAGAGAGAAAGAGACTGAGCGAAAGAGAGTAGGAGGATGTGAGAGAGAGAGAGAGAGAAAGAGGGGGGGAGGGAGGGCACGAGAGGAGAGGCACAGAACGGAGGAGGAAGGGGTAGGAGGACGCTTGGATGGGTGCTGCCTTGTTTAAGCGTGGGTGGGAGTGTCAAATTGAATTACCCCCTCGTACCACGGCTCCCCGGGGACGTTTGCCGGGGCGCTGGCGCTCTCGCTACCTCCGGACGTCGGGGAGGTTTGCATCGGTGTTTGTGTCTGGTGTCTGTGCACGTACGTATGGCGCGTGTGTAGCTGCACGTATACGCGCGCCCGCGCTCGGGCTTCCTTCTCCACGAAGGCGTTTTCAATTAAAATCAACACCGGGGGTTGGCCCCGACCCAGTCGCCCTCCGCTCGACCCCCGCTCGCTTCTCTCGCCGACGCGAACCGTTTTGATCTCTCCTCCTAATCGACGTACCTGTTCCGCGATGCAATCCTCTCGCCTCCTCCCGGCCACCCTTCCTGTTCTTTCGCCCTTACTGCCCCTCCGTCCCCCGCGGCGGGTCTCTTCGCATGTCTTATGTGTATTATGTTATTAATTCGGTTACCGTAGCACGCTTGTACACGAGGCACGTATTACGTTACCGCGGCGGTAGCCCGGCTGTCGCATGTCCGTGTTTTTGTTCCGCCACGCGCCCAGTCAAATACGATAAAAGGAAAAGACACGAAGGAAAAATAAAGGATGTAGAAGAGATATAAAATCTTCGCCACGGTCATGTTGGAACGAATGACTTTTGCGTATGCAGTCATTTAATGCTGATTTGCATTTATGATGATGTTATAACGCAATACGAAGAACGATATATGTTGTTTAAAGCCGACATGTACAGAGAGCAGCATAATAGCCTTAACATTTATGTCACCAGGATTTTCAACTGTACGCACATTCGTGCAAATGGTTAAAAATCGTAGTGACGTCACGGCAATGTAAATTAAGCTGCTATTTTGGTCTCTGCATCCCTCTGCGCCTGTCGTTTAACATGCATTCTAATGATTTGTTACGAGTTTCTCACTGTATCTGACCTGGGGCGATCGATAAATAATCTTCCTCTTCCGTTTCTCGGCAACCTCTTCTCTCAAAAGTTCGCGACTCCTCCGGCGAATCCCCGACGGGTGTTAAACTAACAGTACAGAGACCTCCAGTCACTTATTACGGATACTCGGAATTTTTCGTCGCTTCTGCGTCCCCACTAAGAGGATAAAGGACTCGATTCAGGCCCGACTCTCATTTTCGTCTTTAACATTCCGTCTTTTTTCCCCTTATCCGGCGAAACCTACCTCGCGAAAAGGAAGTCGCTTCCACAGAATCGGACGAGACGGCGAATCGTTCTCCTTAAGGAGAACGCGCGTATTCATCTTTACGCGAAATCCCCGGAATTTCGTGTCACTTTGAGCCGCGGGAAAAAAATTACGGGGATGCGCGAGTTGATAGTTCGTAACTCCGCAAGTTATTTCCTCGCGAATCTTTTCCCTCTCGCGAATACAGCGTTTAATTGGCGTCGCCTCGTCGTTTGAAAAAAAAAAAGTAAATAAGAATTGAACGTACTTCCGCACTATAAGACTAATTCTAAAAGAGAATGTTTTAGTGCAGTTTTACTAACGGTATATTATGTTTCAATGGAATTTCACGCCAACGTCACGCCAAAAGTAATCTTTGCATTACAATCGATCTCGTATTATAATTCAAATTGCGCTTAAAGTGTACTAATGTTTTTCACAATGTCTCCCTCGAGTAAAACTTCGCATTAGAAAAAAGAGATTGTCATATTACTCTGTTTTTGTTTCCCCAAAGAGCTAAATCGCGAGATTAGCGCCCAGCACCGGGACGTCGTCGCGTTGTTCTCGACTCGCGATTAACGAATCAACCAATTACCGATTACGGAAAGAAACCGGAAAGAAGGTTAAGCGAGAGAAAAGGGATTTAATCGTCCTTAATTCTATTTTGCGATTCGCGAGCGAGCGAGAGAGAGAGAGAGAGAGAGAGAGAGAGAGAGAGAGAGAGAGAGAGAGAGAGAGAGAGGGAGGAGGAAGAAGGAAGAGAAGCAGATAGAGCGACCAGTGCTTTGATCGCGCGAGTTTAATTTCAGCGGGTCTTTGGATTCGCTTAATCACCGTCCGATAATTAAGGAGGGCCCTTCGAGCGACAACGACGACGACGACGATGGCGACGTCGAAGACAACTTAATCACACCTTTTAATCAGCACGCGTGTCGATCTCTAATCGCGGATAGTCGCGACCGTATTGCTCGTTGCGCCAATTAATTTGTCATACGAGATATAATGTGATATAAACGAGGTGAAAAATTGAAGAAACGCTTGATTGAAAATCATCCACGTGCACAATAGTCGTGCTTCAGAGCAGCCGATACACCAGTTTCCACACGCCCTTGCAAAAATATCACCGGGCAGCTTCGGCTTTTGTCTTTTTGTACAAAAAGATCGAATATAAATGGAGATCTGAGAGCGGCGCGCGTTTGCGTTTCACGTTATGAAAAGTCGCGTTACCGTTCGCGATTTAATTGGCCGGCGATCGCGCGGCGGTCGGGACAGAGCAAAAACGAGGAGGGCCTGCGATTTAATTGAGCTGAATGCACTGCCGGACACAACGGCACGTCGAGAGAGACAGAGAGAGAGAGAGAAAGAGAGAGCCGGTCGATAAAGTGTAATAAATATAATTACAACGAGGATAGAGGGGGTTGGTGCGGAGGAGGATGCTTTTTTTCCCGGCGCGAGCGGAAAACGCGGAATTTATTATCGGGCGCGAGCACACGGACGGAAGCGACCGTAAAACATCAGAGATTATAATCAATCTCGCCGATGACGATAAAAACCGCGCCGAGAGAAATTATTGCCGTTGCATCGGCGGTGACGCATTTTCCATCGGGCAAATAGGTCGGATTATCGCGACTCGAGGTAGCGTAAAATCAACGAATAATTCTCGAAACACAGATTCTTGAATTCTGGATGTCTCAGATGAGTGATGCGTTGAATTGAGCGCGGAGAGATCGAGATTGTTACGAGTTGTAAGTCGCGACTTCATAGCATGCATTTGCATGGTCGTTGCTTATAGTCAGTCGATACAAAGTCTTTTTCAAAATTATGAACACAGTCTTAATACACATTATATGCACTAAAATGTGTTAGCCTAATACGACTGTACTACTACTCCAATTCCCTCCATTGTTGAGTACGCCTTGGCAGCGTCGAGGCATGCTCTCAACAGGATTTTCCGCTAATGTCTCGAGTAACGACCTCCATATTGTGCGAAGCTGATACAACTGTTTCAAGATGAAAACTAGTTTTTCCCCAAGTTTCATCTTCGTGGTTGCTCATATATTTTCAACGAGATTAGCGTCGGGAGACTGAGGACCAATCCATTGTAATGACGCCGTTTTCACGTTTCCATTCCGTACATGTCTGGTTTCTGTATTGTTGTCTTCTGCGAGTGTAACTGGCAGCGACTGGCAAGCGATAATTTGGAGCTTCTCGGGTACGAACACAAGAACACTGCCTCGAATCGGCTAACATACGCAGCACTCATCTTGTTTACGTATGACTATCGTGTAGGCATTAACGAAACTACCTGAAAGAGCTAGCTCTTTCAAAGCATTCTAACTTAATATAGTATCAAATTTGCCGCATGAAAATGTTGCGTACTAAGATACCAACTGTTGAGATTATTGCGTACATTATCTTGTGCCACTGACTGTAATTCGGTAAAATCGTCTGTTCAGGATGGACGGGCCGGCGGTGTTATCGATGCCGCCGTTGACCGCCTCGCAGAAACCGGCACAGTCGCCGCAGCCTCAACCGCACCCGAAGCAGAATCAGGTAACGGCGACGATGCGAGAACGGACGATAGTCTCGAACGCCTTCGTCGACGGCATCGAAATTAATTAACTTACAGTATGTTTGATAAGAGCGTGTACGGCAAAACTCAAAAACTTAGGATAATACATAAATTGAAAAAATTTGTACACATTATGCATGATATAGACTGCGATGCTTTATTATTAATAAGTTGTCCAACTCGCCTCCATTATCAATAATTGACTGGCATCTCCGAGGCATACTTTCTACTAATTTTACAGCATAATCTTCAGACAAAGATCTCCATATAAATCGAATCTGTCGAATTAACTGCTTGACGGTCCATATTTTCTTTCCTCGGAGCTTAAACTTTATAAGCGCCCAAACATTTTCAATTGGATTTGCATCTGGCGACTGTGAAGGCCAATCCAGTACGTCAACGTCATTTTCTTGTTTCCACGCAGTACAAAGTCTACTCCGATGTTTCGGATCATTGTCCTCTTGCAGTAGCCAATTTTCATTTTTCCTCGTAAACCACCTTTGGGCAGATGGTAATAAAGCTCTCTCATATATTTGGACCATTTTAGCAGCATCCAAATTTTGTGTAAAGATGTGTAAAGTGCCAAATCCCTGTTTTGAGAAACAGCCCCAGACGTGCACCTTTACCGGATGTTTAACGGTCCGCTCGATGAGTCTATTGGCCTGGGTAGACCAGACACGTCTGATAGAAGACTTTGCCCAAAACGAAGCTTCATCTGAAAAAATTACGTTGCCCCAATAGCGGTCCAAATTTTCTTTTGCCCAAGCAAGTCTTTTTTCGACGTGTTTTTCAGACAGCAACGGTTTCGTTATCGTGCTTCGAAATTTCACTTTATGAGCCAGTAAACGTCTTCTTATAGTATGACATGATATATTTAGACCCTTTTTAAGTAAAACCGCTTGCCCGCCACGCAATGATAAACAAGGATTCTTCTCAAACACCCGTAAAATCATTTTGTCCTCCTTTTTCGTCGTTTTCTGCACAGAGCCACGATCCGGCAAGTCATCAACGTTTTTGACCTCGGAATAACGTTTCACCCACTTACTCACAAACGCCTTAGACTTCTTCATATACTTAGCAGCCGCTCCGCGCGACATTTTTGGTCCTTTCGGATGCGAACATAGAAACACAGCTTCGTAACGTGATGCGTACGCGGCACTCATGTTGAAATACGCCCTTTTGTGACGAAAGTCAAACGATAACTAAGGCTTTCTAGACAAAGCATCTTGGGAGAAGAGCCCCGCTATTGGCTCGCGTTCATATCCCCCCTCTAACGGTTTCGAGGAAAAAGTTTTGCCGTACACGCTCTTATCAAACATACTGTATGTCTGAGAGTAATTTGCGAGTTGTACTCTGAGTGCGTAGATCACGTAGAGGACGATCGAAAATGTAATCCTCCGGACGATTCCGCAGGTCGTCGAGGTGATTTTTCATAGATCGTCGAAGCGATCTATACTGTATTGTGTAACGAAAAAAAATGGAATAGGGAGAATCAAGTCTCAGGATTACGCAAATTTTCTTGCATATACTACGATCGAGTGTGATCGAATGAAAATCGAACCGAATCGACTATTCAACGCGGAAATTTGAACTATAAAGTTCAGTCAACAGTAAAACGTCAACGAAACTGACTGGAACGTAGTTGTATGTATGTTATTGTCCCTTTAATTGACAAACGATAGATAGATGTCGGGTTAGCTTTACGATTGCCTCATGAAGCTAAATTCTGAGCTCGTTTTACACACAAACGGGAGATTAACGGAACGTTTCGCTGAAAGACTTCGGGCAGGTAATACGTCAAAAAGCGTCAGGCCGAGCACTCCGGCAAACAGAAACAGAGTGTCACGTCCCGACTCGCGCCGCTCCATCAGGGCATCGTAGTGCAACTAAACCGACAGGAGTTGCAGGTGGGAACTGTGTCGCTCTACGGAATCCACATCGTGTCGCTGGTGATCGAAGGCCAGGAACGGCTCTGCCTGGCGCAGATCAGCAACACCCTGCTGAAGCAGTTCAGCTACAACGAGATCCACAATCGCCGGGTGGCGTTGGGCATCACCTGCGTGCAGTGCACGCCGGTGCAGCTGGAGATACTCCGTCGGGCGGGCGCGATGCCGGTGTCGTCGCGTAGGTGCGGTATGATCACTCGCAGGGAGGCTGAACGCCTCTGCAAGTCCTTCCTCGGCGACAACGCGCCGCCCAGGTCAGTAAACGTTACCGAACCCTCGTGATTCTACCTTCGCACGCGATTACATTGAAAATGAAAATGTGCGGGCTACTGACCTATCTCGCAGATTGCCGGAAGACTTTGCGTTCTCCGTTCATCATGAGTGCGCCTGGGGCTGTCGCGGCGCGTTCCTGCCCGCCCGTTACAACAGCTCGCGAGCCAAGTGCATCAAGTGCACGTACTGCGGCCTGTTCTTCTCACCGAACAAGTTCATCTTCCATTCGCACCGGCTCAGCCCGTCGGATAAGTACGTGCAGCCGGACGCAGCAAACTTCAACTCCTGGCGCCGACACATGAAGTTGTCCGGCACTCCGCCGGACGAGGTGGTGCACGCCTGGGAGGACGTCAAGGCGATGTTCAACGGCGGCACCAGAAAGCGGCTGTTGGGCAACACGAGCGCCCGCGAGTCGCCGAGCCCGGCGAAACAGCCCAGGTCTTCGCCGAACACTGCTGCGCAGATTTCCACTTTGGTGCCCACACCGGCGCATCCGCGGGTGCCGCCGTTCCCGGAACTACCGTTGCCGTTGTCCAGGAGTCTCGTCATGGACTATGTATGGCATCAACATCAGCAGGCGGCGGCGGTCGCCGCGGCCAAAACGCCCGGCTTTGCCTTCCCGCCCTACGCTCTTCCTTGGCTGGCCAAGAGGGGTCCCGTCTTGTTTCCTGGTAAGACGACACTTGCCAACTTGTTTTCGACTGCGACGCCGTTCATTTCAACGCGGTTTAAACGAATGGAAAATTGCTCAAAAAAAGAAGAAACCCAGAATATTATAGCGCGTTACGCTGTAATGGAAATTAGCGGCGGGAGTAAGCGATTGTTAGGTCGGTGACAGGCTTACGTCATCACACACAACGATTATTATTTCTATATCTCTATGTAGGACAACGATTATAGTGTGCGCGTAATTATAGGCGATAATCGACGGTTAATCGTCATTGGGCTTCCATTGAACGCAAAATCGTTAATCGTGTCTTTCTGTTTACAAAGCTATGAGTCATAAATTGTGCGTCTTTGTCGACGACATGTTTACGCAAACGATCGTGACTAACGATTGGCTCGACCTTAATGAACTAACAATCGCATTCTCGCGCCAGGGCCACTGCCGCCGCCGATAAGTGGCTCAAGTCCCACGGAACCTTTGATTCCAACCGTGAACCCGCCGTTACATCAATCGGCGTTCCGTCCGGTAATCCGCGGACCACCCATCGTCGAGCAACTGATGCCGGAGCGAGCGACGGACGCCGGCAAAGAGGAGAACTCCGACGATGAGGTCGACATCGAGACGACGGAGGACGACCCGGTGACGCCGCTTAACGCGAGTCTTCAGAATCTCCACTCGGCCTCGAATTCTATGAGCAGCCACAGCGGACGGAGTACGTCGCCGCAGTGCTGGAGTCCGCCACGAGAGACGGTGAGTCGCAACGGTATTCCATTCTGAGCGGGTTCCCGAATCGAAACTTTTAGCTCTATTTTCGACCTGATCTTTCTAACATTTGTATATCCTAAATAATTGATGTATTTTTATTACACTTGGAGAAACTGAAGATCTAGCGCCTTTTAGGACTGGTTGTTCCAATTTTTTGGGAAGTTAACTGATGATTAAATCATCTGTCTTTGTGTTTCTTCTAACTTAGACAAAGACACACATATGATTTAACTATCAGCTAGCTTAACAAGAAGTTGAAACAACCAGCCCTAAATGACAGGAAATTTGTAAATTCTAAGGACGATCTCTTGGCGAAGCTAGTAGTTTAAATAGGACCAAAAAAGGTTGTTGCAGGCTTCAGAGTATCAAAGTAGGCATTAAATGGAATATCGAATAGAAGATCGAAAATAAAATAAAAATTTCAACTCGGGAAGCTCGAAAGCGTACAAATATGCTCTCAAGTGTATAACTTAAAATATACAAGTATATTTTTCAATAAAATTAAAAGTATATATACTATTTAAAGTATCAAAGTTACACTTAGCAGCATAATTTTAAGCGTAACTTAAGAGAATGCTACCTGAAGTTACAATTAAAACCTCGAGTGCATATTGCGAATGCCCGTCGCGATCGATGCGCTACGGGGTGCTCGAGAACACGAGATGTAAGCCGCGTTACGATGCGCGACGACCATCAGCCACGTGCTGGCCGTGGTCGAACACACGTGCCACGATCGCGACGCGAGCATTATCGTCGGCCGATCGCAAACACTCGACTATAAGCGGCGGAACCGCTTCGTCCGCTGGAAACATGCCGTCGCCTGGTGGCGCGACCCCTTGTCGTTGTTGACGAAGACGTAATCGCGCGCGACAAACGCGCAATATCCACAATCACGCCGTATAGCGTGAGCCGCGCCGTGCACGCGATCGACTACCGCACGCGATGGCGCTCACCTGCTTCTACCGAGATGCAATCGTGACGTACGCGCCGGCGATCTTCCTCCTCGGAGACTCGCCCCTGAAGACAGAATTGGAGGATTTCCTCGGAGTTGCCCCGATTTTCTCTCGATTAACGGACACCAATTCCCCCCTCGTGATTTCCCCTTCGCTCTACGCAAAGTCGAAACTCGAAAGTATCGAAGTTTAGTCGAAATCAATCGGTCTCTCTTTCCGCCTCCTCGCCTAAAGTGTCGAAGTTTAGTCACCCCTTTTCCGCTACGCCGATTGGTTCTGTTGCTGAGCGTTCCCGAGTCGGAATTTTGGTTCTACGTTAGCCCTACAAGTTCCATCGAACTTGAGGGACCCAATTAGGGTTGCCTAGCGTCCGGTTTTGATCCGGATTATCAGGTTTTCAGTAGTCTTGTCCGGTGTCCGGTTGACAAGTCAAATCAGACGTCACATGTCCGGTTTTTAAGTTATACTCATTCAATCAAATTTGATTTAAAAACAGATCTTCCGGATTTTAATGATATTTGTCCATTCCAAGCGTCTATTAACGATTGTTTAATTCTGTGTCTAATAATAAAATGTATTATATATTTAAAAAATAATAGTAGTTTAATAATCAACTTGTTTTTAAAATTGCTTAGAAAATATATTGTAAGAAACTTCTTACCAAATTTTGTATTTAATTTAGTTTTATGATTATTGTATTTAATTTAGTTTTATGATTATTATTTCTGCCCGATTTTGTCTGGTTAAGTTTTGTTACCAAAGAGGAAATGTCCAGCAAAATGAAAACTTTGATGGAGAACCTTGAAGCGCAATATTGTACAGGCCTTTTGATGCCAGAAAGATTTGACCATTTTTTGTTTTAATGCAATTTATGCAGAAAAAAGGATATACGACATTAGTAGGCTTCAACGAAAAATAAAAAGTTCAGAGGCGTAACGGTTCTCTCGTCACATCGATAATTCAATGTCGCCGGGGAGATGTTTATAGCGTGGCAGAAACGTCGACTCTTGTCCTGAGAAGCAATTTATTACGGCGTGACTCTTTACTCACTCGCTAGTGAATAAAAGCATACGTCCTCCGCGGTTTAATAACGGAGTGTATTTGCGTTGTAAGGAAAGTAACCCCGCACTACCCCGCGCGCGTGACTGACCGAGTCTCCCCTGTAAATGGCCAGCGAAATATTTTCCCGCAACACGACACCCAACGGCAAACAGTGCCGCCGCAAAGTTAATCGAATTAACGTCGTGCTCGACGCTCTCGTTTAATCGAGTCCTTCCCTCGTCGAGAAATCGTTCGCGCTACATACACACACTCACACGTGAAATAACGTATTAGGTTAGCTGATGAGAGAAACCGGCTGATTCTTTATATTTTCTTTCCCTTAGAAATTTCTGGGTTAGTTTGGAGGATGGATTTCACCCTAGCCAGAATTGAATCAATTTTTATCAATCATCTCGTTAACGGTTTTTTAACGATTAAAAGAAAAGGTTAACTCTAGGTTAAAAGCTAGATCAAAAAACCCATGAGGAGAGAAATTTTTTGGTTAACTTCTCATCATTGTAGTCAATCTAAAAGAGGAGAGAGAGGAGAGAGAAGGGAGGAGAGAGAGGAAGCAGCAAACGGCAATTAGCGACGACTTGCGATCGTTTCCTCTCCAATTTCCTCTCAAAGTAATATCGTACGAGGGGGATAGGAATGCCCCCTTCGTAGTGTTTATCGTCAGGTGAAAGCTGTGCAGGGCAAAGCAACGCGGCGCGGCGCGGCAATTAACATCGAGGTCGCCGGAATTTTCGACGATGCTCGGGTTAATTATTCCGCGGCAATTTAGCCGTTAACGAGCCGGTGGTAATTGAGTGCCTGGGAATTATTGTAACGACGTGCTCACCGCCACCGCCGCCGCCGCCGTTTCTGTTGCCACCCCCGACCATTTACATCGTCGGCAGAGACGGCAGAGCAGCGTAATACTACTCGACTCGTCCCTAGAATTTGCTCTGCGGTCTGACTGCTCATGCACCGGTGGCGGCGGTGGCGGCGGTGGCGGCGGTGGCGGCGGCGGCAGTGGTGGCAACGGCCCTCATCATCAATCGCGATAATTATTGTGTCGGTAAATATACTCCGCGTACAAACGAACGCGGAGGCCGATCGCGCACACGCACCATCCGAACACACTTACGGCGCGACGACATGATTAAACGAACGTCCCCGGCGTATTACGCTGCGTGTCATGGTTCCGATGTGAACCGACGTTCCACCGACGCGGTAATGATGGCCGTCGACATCAAAGACGGATTACGGCGGCTTGCCGCCAGCGAATGCATCGTTGTCGCGCGGCGCAACGGACGCATCGACTCTCTGTGGTCGACGCGTGAAGGCTTATTTAGATCGGACGATTTTCGACGTGATAATATCGATCCGATATAGAACGGCTGCGTTATCGCGCTACGTGCAATTTCGCGTTTGGAATTCGAGGCTCAAATGGCGGAATAATGTGCGACCCGTTTCACCTTTCCGGGACATGTCGTCTGTGCTGATCCGTTGCACGCGGACTTCAATTAAAAGGTCCCTCGCACTTTTCGCGTTGCTGGAATTAGAGGGTTAATGCTGGATTGCTCTCGAGTGGGATAACCGACTAACGCGTCTTCTACCCTCTTGAAAAAAATATAACTAGCGAAGTAGCCCCTGGTGTAGTTTACCGGCACTCGAAGACCTTAATCGGCCGTCGCGTGTTGAAAAAAGAAAGAAAGGAAGAGGGGAGAGAGAGCGGAGAGAGAGAGCGGAGAGAGAGAGAAAGAGACGGGTTCAGCAAAAAGATCGTTCCCGGAGCGAATAATTGCAAGAAGAAGCGGAGTATGCGAGAAGAGCGTGCGCGAGAAAGAGAGAAAGAGAGAGGAGAGACAGAGAGAGAGAGAGAGAGAGAGAGAAAGAGAGAGAAGAGAGGGAGGAAGAGAGAAGAAACAGAAGAGACGACGGGGGTGGATTGGGATAAGCCGTCCGGATTGCCAGACAGCTTTTCAATTCCCCCTTGTCGGTGAACGTGTCGAGTGGGACGAACCCGTATTTTGTCCGGAATCTCTCTCTCTCTCTCTGGGTCTCTCTCTCTCTTTCTCTCCCTCTCCCTCTCCCTCCCCTTGGCTGACGAGCGTGTACATACACGAGAGATATTCATCACAAAGGTGCAGGCGACTTGTACACCACATAGGAAGTAGAAACCCAGTTACTGCACCGGACCACGATGGAAGAACCCAGTAGCAGAGCCCGGAGTACAAGTGTATCGCGGTAACTGAGTAATCCCCGAACGTTATTTGCAGTTATTTCTCGCTCCGCTGAGTAGACTGAGAGAGCAAGAGAGAGAGAGGGGAATTCGCGAGAGACGGAGTGGACGGTATTTTCATTTTCGCGACATCTGTGGATCTCTCTCGCCGGCGCGCATGACTGTGTGGTACGTGAGCATGCGTAGAATCTCGCGAAGCTATCGCTTCTCCACTCAGGATCGAAAGCTTGGATCTCGTTGCCGAAACACAATGAGGTAATCGAGCTACCATTGATTACAAAAAGCACCGAGCCTCGTATAGAGGACGCGTGTGTTTGAGATGATTCTTGGGAGAGATGCGTCTCGTATCTTGACGCGCGTCTCGATAAATCTGCTTGAAATCGGTAATTAAAGGGTCCGGTTAAAACGTGCGAGCGCGCGTGTTTATTACAGCGCAGACACCTCGCCCCGTCGTAATTTTAATCAGCGTCCCGGGCCCAGAGATCTGAGAGTAAATCGCTATCAGCCCGCCGATCAATTAAGATCCTTTGCTCGATCGTGATTACTGAAAGTCTGAATCACGTCGGTAAACTCCCTGCGGGGCCGGGCTCGCTCCGTTTGGAAGGCAACGAAGATATTCGCGGAATCTCCTCCACCATCCATTTAAATGCAATTAAGCAACGTCACGTAGAAGCGTAACGGGGGTCGGAAACGTTTAAATCAAACTACGGCTGGTTTAGTTAGTTTCGACCGCAACTTTTAATTGCGCCTCGACCGTCTGG